CATTTAGTTTGAAGTCAGATATAAGACCATTTTTCGAGGGTCCCGGTGTATCCTAAAATGAGTTCTAGATTCAATTAAGCTGTTAGATACAATCAAATATAATATTTATGTTTGGTGTTTTTCAGACTCTTTCAGAACTACCAAAATTACGAATTCCCAAAAAGGTTAATTTTTAAGCACAGTTGAGATACTTTTATCGTTCAGTATTGGCACGCACAGGGATGGCCAAGAGATAACCAAGGTTTTCATTCATCAAAAATACTGGAGCTTTCACGGCAGTGAATTTTGATAATTTGTTTCTAACGTCAACATAATTTAAATGTAAACGAACTTCATTTCTCCGATCACCTAACTGAAAATTAGTAATTATCAACATCATGTTTATTACAAAATCTAATAACACTAAGTGAGTGAGTGTAAATCACAATTATGCAGTTACTAAGTATAAATATCCCTGCTTGAATAAGTTTTGAATCTAATAAGCTTAAAAAGATATCATAATAAAACAAATAAGTTTTGCGTTCAGAATTTAAATGTGTCATGATTGTTTGACAAAATGGTTTGCTTCCGACCTTTGTATTGTATAAATATATATTGGCTAAACGTTTTTGACTTGGCTCACCTTGTTAGAGAAGGATATTTATTATCAATGAATGTAGTATCCAGAATGTTCGTTTTATAAAATATTCATGTGGATCTATAACAAGTCTGAAACAAATTATCAAGTTATTTCTTTTTATGAAACTGAACAGAGTTATGATGCTAATGTTTTCAGAACACTATGAACTAATTGTGTATTGTTGTTTTCCCTTTAGACAATCTCCATCTTACTGTGATGTTTTGAGTTTTCCAGATTGTCTGTTTATTTATCGTGCACATATAGGGACAGTAACCCTTTGTTATTTTGATAAATAATTTTCACCAGTTTGATTACTCAATATTCGTCTTATTAATCATTAATCCATTCAAACCATTTTTTCGATTCACAGAAACCTATAAGCATTGAATATGACTAAACCACAGGAAATGAATTCATATTATTTCGCTTTAATTGTTTCTTTTGTTCTATTAAAGCTTTCATAGTAAACTAACTATTTGATATTTATAAACAATTAGATTTTCAATCAATTTATAGTTGAAAACGATAAAACACCTAAATAATGTATGGAAATATCACAAAATGTGTAAAATCTAACTGAAGTACACTGACTTACAACGAAACGTGAATAAAATTAAATCGACCTAACAACGTCCATTCATGTTATTTGTAAAAATGGGATTCCGATTGCATATTTTACATAATCTTGACTACAAACATGGTAAATTTAACAGGTAGATCTATGTGAACATACAATACGAGTCTTTCTGTGCACTTACTTATTGGTTAGTGAACATCATGTATCTAGATGACTTCTATGCGGACATATAGAGTGATCGATATGTGTAATATATGGGTATTCTTTCTCAACGAAAATCAAGAGACAACTAAAACAAGAAATAACAGGCTCCCATTTGGCTAGGTAAAACTTTTGTGAAGAGATTGTGATCACAGCACCAGGCTAGATTTTCAAATAATTTCACTTCAAACAATAAAGAACGTTTGCAGACACAATTATGTATGTTGTTTTTTCGAGGGGGAGACCGAAGCTCCTGGGTTCGAATCCCGGATGTAGAGTTGTAAACGCACGCTGCTGAGGAGTCCCATACTTGGAAAAAGTGGCCCTCCAATGCTTCCAGGTTTGCAGTGATGTGCTGTCTAAGATCGTTTCGCGATCTGAACTATGAAAATATTTATTATTATTATCTTTTATTTCACATCTAATATTTGTGAAACTATTCAATTACATGTTAACGATAGGGTTTAAATAACTTTGCAGTGCACACAATGAACCACATAGATTAGTTCCTCAATATTAAAATTGATTTAAATAAGTTCAGCCAACATAGTATCAAATATGTTTTAGTAAAGATGGTATAAAAAGATAGGCTGTGCTTGATTTCTATTCTTCACAAGCACCACCCATTTAGAAATTACTTCTTCTTTCGCTTAATATATTGATTACATAGCTCATGTACTTTATAATGACTCTTCTCCAACTTGTTTAATGTAAAACTCAATGAAGTAGAAATTTAATTATATTTATCATTGGTATTTAGTAATGTTTTATACAACTATTAAGGCTTATTTAGATCAGGTGTTTTTTGCTTTAATTAACAATGATAATACATTTTACTTGATTTTCATTTTTAAGGAAAGCAAACATTAGCATGATGAACTTCACTGATTAGTTTATTATTCGGTCCTTGATTTGTCTACATAACGGTATACAGAAGATTAAGGCCTGATTGACTCAACCTTGAGGCTAGAATCAAGTGAGTCCAAAATGAGACTAACTGCCATGGGTAGAGAGACGAAAGCTATTCTACCACCTGATTGGGCGACAAGCGCGAGAGAGAAGACGAGTCAACTGAGACACTACTAAATTTATTCCCGATTCCAATTCACACTCCGATTCAGAATAATGTAAAAAGGTATTTCAATAATATAGATGACTAACATGAACACAATGCATCAACAATTAAGAAAATACAATGATGTCTAAAAGTGGGGATTAGGATAGAAAATAGACTACAAAAAATTGTTTAAATTACAACTTTGGAACAAAAGACGGGTATAACAGTGAACAAAAGCTTATGGCTTGTAGAATAAACTAGAAACAAAAATTAATTATTATCAGAATGAGGCTTATATTAATATTAATAAATGTTTTCATGAATATGACTGAAATAAACTTAGGTTAATAGAACAAAATCTTTTCATATTTTAATCGGGATTGGAAGAGTTTATTGATTTAGGAAACATGGAATGGATAATCGATCATGTCTTTTTTTTAAAAAATTCCGTAGTAAATTTAACATATAAGTGTTTTGTAACTGATTACTATTTGAACAATGAAAAATTTTGTTCCCAACTGTTTTGTTGATTATCATATCTTAGACCTAAAATTTACGATATCTTACATTTCTATTAAATGTGTAGAGAAAGTAAACTGTATAGGTGATCAGTGAATTATTCAAAATAAATTGTACGATATACTTGCTTTATGATCTAGAGGGTAACATTTGCAATGACTTGATCTAAAATAATTTATTGGAGATTAATCAGTTCAATAACATACTGATCATTATAAAATTCAATAATATACCTTCATTCAATGACGAAACATTCTGAGAAAAAACAAAGTTTCAAATTTTTATTATGATTTAAGATAATGGATATTTAAAAAAAACTAAATGTAATGAAAAACGAACTCAAAAAAGAGAACATTTTTCTAATGATTAAAATCATCAAACAGAATGGATCTGTTTGATGTCCCATTTTTACTATGTTTTGTAAATATTATTGTCATTAGTTTTGAATTTATAACATATTATTTAAGTATATTTGTTTAGGTTATCAAATGATGGATCCTTTTTCAAGTTTGATCACATATCACTTGACATAATAATGTTAGATTTATTTAACTTCATAAGTATGATGTATAGATAATAATACTAGACAAGCTTAATTATTTCTGTCGTAATGTTCAAAATAAATTTATTCTAGTTCATAGTTCGATTCCTAACCAGCAATTAATTTATAATCTAAATGGTAAACTTTAAATTTCTCTCTCTACCAGTTTTAAAATTTAAAAATTCAACTTATTCCAAGTTATCTACATCACGTCTACAATATTAATAAACTTGAACGTTTTAGTGAAATATTCATTTGTCTTTTTATCAAATGTTATTATTATTTTAATAGTTGAAATCATGAGTCAATTGAAGTTAAACCACTATCAGAACCCTGGAATCAGTGGACGGCCGTTTCGTCGTAGTATGGAACTCATCAGTAGTGCGCATCCATGATCCCGCCCTCCGCGAGATTCGAATCCAGGACCTACCGGTCTTGCACGTGAACGCTTAACATCTAAACCACTGAGCCGGCATCCAACGGTGTTAAATTCTAACTCCAACTAATCCACGAAATTGCGCGACACATGCACCATTGTTTTTAGTGAGCTAATATCTCACAACAGACCTGGTTGAACTCCACTGGTCACTGCTTCTCATTAGACCTCCAGCAAATACCTCTTGAAGTCAGTCACCAGTGAGCAGATGATTAATATCAGAAAGGGTTTTGTGGAGATTTTAATAATTTCAATAAGTGAATTCATGATCGGAATCGTGGATGCGCACTGTTGAGGAGTCCCACAATAGGACGAAACGGCTGTCCAGTGCTTCCAGGTTTTCTATGGTGGTCTAGCTTCAATTAACTCATGATTTCAACTATTGAAATTACTAAAATCTCCACAAAACCCCTCCTGATATTATTATTATTGTTTGTTAGAATTTCTTCAATAGTCTTAAATTGGTTTATTTACTTTTGGTAATCATCCCGCGCTTAAATAGGTTTGTTTATTTTACATTTGAACTTATAAATAATGAATTGTATAATAACACTTGAAATATTTATTCTAAGTAACATATTCTCAAAAATAAATACAAATTTATTTACTTCAAATACAAATAATTCTAATAATATTTTAATGTCAACTCTATACGGAGCAATAAAAATTAACTGTACTATTTGTTGATAGATAGATATTCTTATCTAAAACAAACTATGATATAAGATGACATATCCGAGGTCAAATATGTCATGATTAAGATGAAGTTATTTTCACATCTCAAGGTATGATTATCTAAGATCCTATTGAGATTACTATACATTGATTATATAGAAGAATATTACTGAATTGTAAAATAGCTATGAATGGCTAATATTTTGTAATTATTAATGAGTTACAGTTTTAAATTCTATGTGATGCATGTTTGGAAATATTTGACAGAATGTTGTTTATATTCAGGTAATAAATTATAAAGAAAACAATCTCTTGTTTTATATTGAATATGAAAATCGATTCTCATAAATTACTAATTTTTGTGTATTTGAACAGATTGTCAACTTGTAATGTATGTTATATTCGTACCACTGAGATTCTACTCAAGACATTGTTTTGTTAATAATGATATAATTTGGTCATTGTACGGTGATTTGAGCGAAATAATTTATACGACACATGACCCTGGACTCACATCTACTAAGCAGTTATATATACTTAATGTTCGTCAGTGTTTTGGAAAATAGTCAATAATAATTTAATCTATAGACTAACCCGGATCTAACGTATCATTTTAATAATCAAATTAAGCTTTCATGTAAGTGGATAAATTTAACTATTTTTAACTAAATTCTTCGTAAACATGTTCTTATAAATACAAAATATGAAAATTTGAAATTTCATAACGTTGTTCATTATATATTCCATAGTGTTTGTAGCTATTTATATTAGCTCTTAAAGTTTGATTGACACTAAAATTGATAATGTGAATGAATCGCTCATAAAATCTTCTCACATTAAAAAAACGAACATGAACTTTTCATCAGCAACTTGAATTAAAGTCAACTTTCCGTAAATCGACTATGAAAACATGATCTAGTGGATCATTGAAACAGAGGATACTGATACAAAATAATAGCTATCTCAGATGTATAATGGTAAATACATTATACCATACAATAAATAAAGTTAGATGTCAGCAACTGTATAAATACCAGTGTAATCACTGCGGTAGTCAGTATGGTGAACAATTGTAAATAGCAAGTGACTGGTTACTACATCATTTATACACTGATTCTTCATATACGTTATCGAGGATCATTTTGAATGAACATTACATTTCGAAAATTTACTTCGAATATACAAGAGCTTATTATTAATTTAGTCTTTAAGTATTACACTTTTCCAACAAAACAATATTTAAAAAAGCTTTCTTAAATCAATTAAAAAAAAAGATGAATGGTTATAAGATTTAATGAACTAATTTGCTTATCTTTGGATATATGTATAACCGTTAAATTAATTCATTTTGTTTAAATTTCAGAAATATTAAAGAAACATTTGTATTTCAAGTTATGATAGGTATGACATTCGACACTAAATGTATTAAATATTCATTTAATTTACTAAACAGTATTTTTCCCTGATTTACCATATTTACCATGATTTACTATTTTACATTCATTCCTTGAAGACAGAAATCGATAAAATTATGACAAGAAGATAATTTTTATCATCCTATGCATACAAACCCAACAATAAAGAACGTGAACGGACATAAGCATATACTACTAATTCTGTTTTGTGGTAAATGCTACGAGGAAATATTGATTGGGGAAAAGATTGATCAGATAGAAGGAAATTCTTTAAGAAAGCATTTAACCTTAAATATATTAAAATATAGTTAAAATAATAAAACACGTATTTTTTTTACCTTTAAATAAAAATAAATGTTGTGCAACAAAAGACCTTGAGTTTTCCTGAAATATGATCAAACCAACGTAATAATTGCCTATAACTTGTTTCCATTTGATAATTTTCGCTAACAATGCATACAAGAATTGAAATAATCGTTTAGTTAATGGTGTCTCTCTAAATTTCCGACACTCCATCTATCCTTGTATAGTGGAAGCTCTGTAGGATAAATATATGTACAGAATGTAAATAAACCTTATTTCATACTGAGAGGTAATGCAATCCATAATTTGACATTTAAATCTATGGAAGATCATCTAAGTCAGACTACAGATTAGATTAATAAGAACGAGAGTATTTTGTAGGTAGTTTGCAATATTATATGAATATTGTATATAAAACTGACTTTAATCCCAAACTTCAAGTAAGTCAAAAATAAAAATGGAAAAGGTAAAACGTAGTCTAAAATAGCCTTCACAGCTAGTAGAACAATCGATTTGTAGTCAGAAGTTGGTTCAGTTCATTTCATTCAGTAGAGCTGTAACTCAATAGTTCAGATATTCATTTTTTAATTGGCGTATTTCAGTTTCGAAATTTTTCCCTACGTATCTTCCATACAAAATCTGAATAGCGTCCTAGGTTCCTCCAAAATTCCAAGTCTAGTACGTGACACTATGAATGATCATTTAGTTACTTACTTACTTACTTACGCATGTTACTCCTCGTGAAGGAGCATAGGCCGCTCACCAGCATTCTCCATTCAACCCTGTCCTGGGAAATCCTTTCCAGCTCCTTCCAGTTGTTATTCATCTTTTTCATATCTGCTTCTATTATCCGACGTAATATGTTCCTTGGCCTTCCTCTTCTACACTTTCCTTTAGGATTTCAAGTCAGGGCTTGCCCCGCGATGCAGTTTGATGATTTGCGTAATGTATGTCCTATCCATTTCCATCGTCTTTTCCGAATTTCCTCTTCACCTGGAAGCTGGTTTGTTCTCTCCCAGAGAAGGCTGTTGCTGATGGTACCCGGCCAATGAATGTTGAGTATCTTGCGTAGACAGCTATTTATCAATACTTGCACCTTCTTGATGATGGTTGTTGCAGTTCTCCAAGTTTCAGCTCCATACAGTAGAACTGCCTTAACATTCGTATTGAAGATTCTCACTTTGATATTGGTTGAAAGTTGTTTTGAGTTTTATATGTTCTTCAACTGTAGGAATGCTGTCTTTACTTTGCCAATCCTTGCCTTTACGTCTGCATCTGAGCCTCCTTGTTTATCGATGATGCTTCCCAGGTATGTGAAGGATTCTACATCTTCCAGAGTTTTGCCATCAAGAGTGATTGGGTTGCTGTTCTGCGTTTTGAATTTGAGGACCTTGGTTTTCCCCTTGTGTATGTGTATGTTGAGGCCTACTGATGCAGAGACTGCTGCTACACTGGCTGCCTTTATCTGCATTTGTTCATGTGTATGCGATAGGAGGGCTAGGTCATCTGAGAAGTCCAAATCGTCTAATTGATTCTGAGCTATCCATTGTATTCCGTGTTTTCCTTCAGATGTCGAGGTCCTCATAATCCAATCGACCACCAGAAGAAAGAGGTAGGGAGGGAGTAGACAGCCTTGTCTGACTCCGGTCCTTACTTGGAATGCATCTGTCAGCTGTCCTCCATGCACGACCTTGCACTGTAGTCCGTCGTATGTGTTCCGGATAATATTGACAATCTTCTCAGGAACTCCGTAATGTCGAAGAAGTTTCCATATTGTTCTCCTATCTACACTGTCAAATGGCTTTTCATAATCAATGAAGTTGATGTACAGTGCCGAGTTCCACTCAATTCATTGTTCGACGATGATCCGTAGTGTTGCAATTTGGTCTGTGCACGATCGATCCTTACGGAATCCAGCTTGTTGATCTCGAAGTAGGGCGTCTACTGCATCCTTCATCCGGTTCAGCAACGCTCTGCTGAAGACCTTCCCTGGTATCGACAGTAGTTTAATGCCTCTGTAGTTTTCACATTTGCTCAGATCTCCTTTCTTTGGAATCTTGATGAGGTGTCCTTCTTTCCAGTCCATCGGCACTTGTTCCTCCTCCCAAATCTTTTTGAATAGAAGGTGAAGCATGTTTGTAGTTACTTCGATGTCTGATTTCAGTGCTTCAGCTGGTATGTTGTCGGGTCCTGCTGCTTTCCTGTTCTTGATTTGTCTGACGGCCATTTTAATTTCTTCCGTCGTTGGTGGGTTGACATTTATAGGAAGATCTATGTGTGCTGCTTCGATGTCCGGTGGATTCATTGGAGCCGGCCTATTCAGGAGTTCCTCGAAGTATTCTACCCATCTGTTCCGCTGTCGTTGAATTTCAGTGATTGGCTTGCCTTCTTTGTCTTTGACCGGTCTCTCTAGTTTACTATATTTCCCTGCTAGTGTCTTCGTTGTATCGTAAAGCTGTTTCATATTTCCTTCTCTAGCAGCTTTTTCCGCCGTCGTTGCTAGTTCTTCCTCGTATTTCTTCTTGCCAGCTCTAATGCTTCACTTCATTTAGTTGGATAAGTTAATAAAAATTTTGCCAAAATATCTGGTTAAGGTACTTGATTGTTCCCTAGGCTGCTAGATGAGTTCAATCGTATCAACAGTTCATGCTAAGAGGTTATGTGAAAGCTAGGATGAGCGCAGTTATTTGATTTTTTATCATGCACTGATATTATTCAACCAATTGACTTGCTAAAAGTAAATTTCTAATAAGAAAATTAAGTTCACTACATGTCAGCATTTTCTCTAAGGAAACTAATAATCCATAACATTTTGTTAAAAGTTACGGCGAAAAGTACGCATACTTCCTATAATCGCCTGCAAACTAGACGAATAACGCGGTTAACATTGCCATGAATGATAACAAAAACAGACTATTAGCTTAGTAGACTAAGCTTATAATAAGTCTAATGAGCGCTCTGCTAAGTGATATGAGATACAATCGTGAGTAGAGCAACAGAGTCCTGCATGGAGGACAGCTCATAAATTCATTTCAAGTGACGAACGGTGTCACACATTGGTGCTAAGTATCTCCCCTTCTCTTTCTCTAGGTGGTCAATTGGACTATGAAAACCTCCACATCTCAGGGGAAGCACGGCGTACAATGAACAGTTTGGATGCAACTACACTATTTGCACTTCACAGATCACCTAGCTTTTCCATCCCATATATAACAAACAAATGCAGCCGAAGACAGTGTATCAGCAGCCTCTGCAGTGGTAGGTTTGAACTACAGCATGGAGAACACTGACTGAATCACACTTAATGAAGAAGCTCTGGAACAGATAGAAAGTTTTACGTACTTGGGCAGCAGCATCATCGATGAACGTGGAGGATCGGATGCAGACGTAAAGACAAGGATCGGTAAAGCAAGGGGAACATTCCTACAGTTGAAGAACATATGGAACTCTAGGGACTTTAGGCGAAAATAAATATCGATAAACGTAACTCAATGATAAAATAGTATTTGAAAGTTTAGTGAACAAAATGTAAACCTTTGTTGGTAAATACATAGTGAATTAAATTTGCATTGACTATTTTGTTATATATACTGAAAATACCTACACCTTTTCAAATGAGCGAAAATAAACTGAATCTTCAATACAATTTTTGTAAAGATGTTGTCACTATCGATATACATAGACATACAAGGTAACTAAAAGTTACACCTTGTGTCAACTTTATACTTCAAGTTGTCAGCTAAATTATACTCATTGTAAAACAAGTTCTTTCGCACTATAGAAATTACATCCAAATAACGAGTTCTAGTTCTACTGAAAAGAGTCCAATGGTACTAAAATTGGTTATTCTGTCCTTCGATTAGAAATATTTTGTCCATATAGTCAGAAACAAATATCATATATATATGTTTCCAGGAAAATATTAAAAAGCCGCATTTGACTGAGAGCATTGCTTCATAGATTTCATGAGATGTAATCGATCAAAAAGTCTGAAAAACTAGCAACATATGCGGTAGTTTTGTAATTGTTGAAAAATCGTCACAAACACGTATTCACTGATATACAATTTTCTTTATTTCCAAAATTTTATTTTATTTAGTGATATTTAGGAAAATTGTAAACAGTAATTTGAAAGCGCTCAATTGTTAATTGGTGTATGTTTAGTAGGAAGTTAACAACTGTCAATAGCTTGTTTAATGAAGCTGAAAGGAAATCTTTAAAATTTCGTGAGTAACACTTCAAATGCATTGCAATGTTTAACTAAAGTTTGATAAAATCTCAATACTGAACTCAGTTTTTGTTATTCTGTTTTAAATGCACTGATATTCTATAAAGAGTGGTCACATATATTTTATATTAAGTCATTAACAGGAAGAAATGTGGTCGATTCATCAATATTTTATTCACTATAAAGTTTTCGCTGTAAGTAGATGAACAAAATTTCCACTGTTACCAATCGCTTGAAACGGGATAGATTGTATCAGTGTTTCTTTACTGATAGCTTTTCAGATCATAAATCAGTTTCTGTGCCATTTGAAGTTAACCAGTTACAATTGACTTAGGTGGTAGGTGGTTTTTCAATTGTCTAACTGCTTAAAAATATTTTCTCTGAATATTATCATTAGATGAATAATTTTAACAAGATATTGTTTCTTTATTATTATTGAAATAAAATGATATCTTATAGACATCCATATCAGTTGCAGAAGTTAGTCACATGTTTAGTTCTATTTGACAATATCTGAAATAATTAATAACTTGTGCCATTGTTGACTAGTCAGTCCCAAATAGACTACATAGTCAAAATTATTCATGAAAGGTACGTGATCTAACAGAGTAATTCATCTAACAATTAAAAGAATATGGAACTAAAGTGGATTACATTTTTTGGATGGTTGAATTCACCGACGTTGTCAATCTTGACTTGGACTACATGTTAGTAATTACACTCATCGTAATAATAACATGACGTGATTAGTAAACTGTTTTGAAACCAAACTAACTAAGCTTACAACAAGAAACTATAAATAAATTTCAGGTCGATCTTAACCTGTTACTGTTTCGGCCAAGTATCCCTTATATGGAGCTCTGAATAAACTCCTAAATGGAAATGTTCTAAAATCGCTTATTTTAATAACTTACACATGAGGTTTTGAAGATAATTTTAATTTTCTTTAATCTTTTAATTTTTGTAAGTAACTCCTTTTTTTGTTAAGCATCTATTGAGTGTGAGGACATGTTGAAACCAAGATAATATGATAGCAGTGATGCAAAACCCACTGTTTTATTGAAAAGGAACTAAGATTTTTTTTGGCAAAGATAGTTTTTTTCAGTGATATTACTAATTGTAGTTTTGCATTCTTATTTATGGTGATTTAACAGATACAACGACCTATCCAAAAAAAATACTCTTATAGTGTGAGCAAATATTCTTGAAACAACCGGATCAATGAAACCTGTCTTATACATTTCGTATTCAGCACTCAGGTAAAGTAAATCATTATGTTAATAATTCTCAAATCTATCATTTTATAGAACTTAATTGTCAGTCATTTCATGCATGCTTATGATGAAATGGAATAAATAAGAACACTTATAACTGTGATATATAATAGCAATGTGTTTTATATTTGATCTCGGTCATGTGTTCAGCTGTAAAATAAAACTACTTAATATCAAATATATAATATGTAGAATGTATAAAGTTTTGAACACGTATTTTTTAAAAGGCAATAGTGTTTCTTTACAACTACATACTGAGGTGGTCCTAATGAGCAGGTTAGTTTTTGTGCGAGATATCGATGAGTAATCCATTTCCATTGTTAAAGTTATTAAAATGAAATTCCCTCGATATTAAATTAATTTACTTTATTACTCTTCTTGGAACTATGATTTCTGACAAGATCATAACTTGAAGTATGTTTCTCTGATTATCATTTATGACGTGGAAATCGTGTTCTTGAAGTTCGGCCTGATTTTATTTAAAGTTAACCATACACGTTTTCTAAATTTCGTAACGGTTTTGTGTATTGAGAGTGTTATGTCCCTGTGCTAAGCCAAAGATAAGTCAAAACAGTACTATCAGCCTTCAATCAACTCCCGATCTTTATTGGACCCCAATGTAGTAGCTCCTCACCTAACTCAACCGGTTCAGTTCAAAACACAAATATCAGTCTCCACTATATGAATCGCATATTTCAAACATACTTGGTTTATTTACAAGTAGACCAGACCTCATCACACAATGAAATGAAAAATGATAATTACACAGGATCAAAACAGAAGTGGATGTGAGTATAGGAGACTTTAACTAAATAATTGGGAATAAATCGAGAATGGTAAATGGTATAACAGCAGCTAATATGTCGAATGCAGGCTCATGATAAAGGGAATATAAATGTTTATAATCTAGTTTCTTAATGATTACCCAAAAAGAATATACGTAATAATGGTTCATAAATAATTCCTAGAAGCTACCATTCGTTTATTCTTCGTTTGGATATAACAGAGAGAGCAAGTGATAAATTTTTAAAAACTAAGTATTACATTATACTGCTGATTGTTTGTTTTATATAAGAAACATTTGTTCATTTGAATAGACGAATAAACAAACACATCACTTCTAGTGGACTATAAATGCGGCATTTTAATACTCAATAATAGGATGAGTGACATTTTATGCTTCATATCAATCGATTCTTTATGCTAACAAGTAAATAAAAGTAATTTTGACCTCGTTATTTTCAATAGTCAGTGAAATTGTTGTACTTATACGATACGTTTGTTTCCTTTTACTACCTTTTTACTGTTGATACAAAGTAACAGTCTTTTTTGAATTATGAATAAATACAGTAAAATTAGTCTATTTATCCAGTGGATTGGTATATTAAATAATTGAAACTTCTTACATTTCTAAACAAATCCATGAAAATCATTATCTGTAACGTTTTTTTGTAAACATGTCCATATCAAATATCTCTAAACAAAATCCTCAAACTGTAAACTGACATATGAACGGAAAAAAATTGGAAGATTATCCGTTGGTATCACATATTTGCCTCAAATAAGCACATAAATATGATTCAGAATGAATAATGATGTTGCCATTTCTAAGGTAATCGCATTAACTTATCGTCTTTGTAAACTGTTAATATCATGAGTAGTAAATGATTGTACTCACTGAGAAACTAGTCTCTTATTATGTTCAAATATTAGTTTATTATTATGAGTTTATTTCAAGTTATCTCGAATACTTTGTTGTAGCTGCCTGGTTGTTACATTTAGATTTTATGTTCACAGCTTATTGATGATAAATGATATATACGTTATTCCATTTGTTTCTTGTCCCATCGTTCTGAAAAAGAAACTTATCAAAAACTGGTGTTGGATTTGAGGTATACCAGATGTCCGTTACAGATTGATTCAAGAAACTCCCTTGAATCTTAAACCTTAGAAATTAAGCTTTTGTGCTAGTACTCTAATTAATGCAAGAAATCTGCAATTAACTGTACTAGTGATTTACTTTCCAAACGTACATGTTTATTCGAGTCTATAAATGGAAAATGAAAGTGTCTCGTGACAAGTGGAATTCAACCATGTCGAATGTGAGATAGTTGTCCACCACAGGCTATTGATGACGGTTGTGCAATATCGTGAACCGATTAAAGTTAGACAGCCATACCGTTGGATGCTGGCTAAGCGTTTCCACGTGACACCAATTATCCTGGGTTCGATTCTCTAATACGGGGTTGTGAACACGAACTGACGAGGAGCTTTATACTAGTACCAAACGATAGCCCGGTGCTTCCAGGTCTTTGATGACTGTCTGGTTCGGATCAGTTTGTGATTTGAAATATATGAAAATTATCACAGAACTGCTGAAAAGTCCAAAAATATCTTTCATTTAAGTCTCTAAAAGCCCAGAAAACGCTAGGAAATGTTTCAACTAACCAGCGCTGAACAGAAGCTTCCCAGAAGCATCTACAATGTAAGGGATCAAGTGTCACATCTTTCAGTGGATAATTACCTGTGCCACTATTATAGTTAGCATGTTTCCAGGAGGTCCTGAGGGTCGAAAGTCATATGTAAATCTGTACAATACTGTACCTAAATTAATCTTGAAGTAAAGCTTTTACTCACATTTCGTACCTTATCTCTCTCGTCCCAGCTGATGTGCAAAAGTAGTCGGGAGGTTATAAAAGTGATCAGAAAGACAGTACTAATGATTTTAATAGCAGATTTATCATAACTTCTATACTGAACCTAAATGTTTACAAATTTTTCCTCATATTTATCCAACAATAATAATTTATTCTGAAATAAATTACATGAGGTGTGCCAATTTACAGGTAAGATTAAACTGTAACACGTAACTTTATAAAGGTTACTGTGTAGAATATTCAGTCCATTTGATACGTTATAAAATACATATATTCCTGGTAAAAGCCAGGAAACAAGTGTTAGTGCACAAGCTTAGGTGAGAATCAAAATCAGAGGATCATTATTAATACATCTAACACAATTCGGTAACTGATTGTGCAGTTGAAAATGCAGAAAATAGAACACTTCCTGGCCGTTGCTATGCGATAATCTGTGTTGATTTAGAAATGATACAAGGAAGGAATACTGATTTTGCTGGTGCAAAATAATAAGAATTAATCCGCCATCTCCTTTTAGATAGGAACCCCAGTTGTCACAAATATGTATCACCTGGTAGTGTGAGGGACGCTACTCACAATATTGTTTGCAAGTAGTATATAGCGGAAAGTGGCGTCGTAGGACCGACGGAAGAGTTTCAGTATGTTGAAAGCACAGCGTAGACAGAACAGTAGAAGACCAGAAGAAAATACATTTCGTACTTTAGAATACACTGCAAGCTGCAAATGAATGGTCGAAGGCTGTGTATACGTATGATATAAACCCTTTGTAATTTCTCTTAATAAATAATTCTTTTACTCGTTGTCTTGTTCTATAAATGTTCTCATCGGTAATCTCCAGGTATCTGTTATGCCTGGCTTTCGTAGTAAGAACTTATATCAGAAGATTCGAATAAGTCGCTTGGTGGTTCAAGATAGGGACAGGTGCCCCATAGATGTATGTAATATTTTTCATTGTGATAATTCTGGAAAAAGAAGAAATGCAGAAAAACTGACAAGTAGTATGAGTTATCGACTATAAATGACCAATTAAGTGTAATCATTTGTGATGGAAGGAATAATGTATGTTAAAATAGTGGAAAAGAGCCCTGCTAAAAATATGAACCAATAAGACATGTATTAAACTTAAATTGAATTGTCTCCATTTGACGAATTGCCATTCAAGTGGCTCATAGTTTTTCTTTGGTTATAATGCGTCACATTAAGTTATATCTGATTGGTACGTTGAAAAAAGATAATGACTAAAGCTAATGCTATGTGCACAGGAATTATGAACTGTTCTAATTAATTAACATTAGTAAACAGTTACTAACTTGAGTTAAAACTGGATATGTTTATAAAGAATTGATGTAGTATTAAAACAATTAAAAACTTCGGCACCTGTTTTCTGATTTCAATGTGGTCGATTTTAATGATATAGCTGTTATTGAAGTGTAAACCATGGTCACTTCGTATATGTTTTGTTAAAACACCACGTTGACGCAACATAGATAATAAAGCTCATGTACGAATTGTATTTAAAATACTTACATTTCAGACATGTTAATTTTGAACGGCAGACAAATAAAAGATGCAGTGATTGTATAAAGCATTGCAGTTTAGTAATGGACCAGCTAATAATAACAAATTGATTGTTTTTACAAATCATATAAGAAATACAGAAAGTGGGTCGACACATGTACTATCAAACATACATGTATAGAACATGTTCAAGGTTATATTTGAATGACAAGGACAAATTTATATGTGGTGGAATAAATGGAAAGACTTGAACCATTCATCTGATCAAAGATTATAATGAATCACGTAGGCGTGTAACAATACTGACTACTAAAAAACCACTATTTTGTACTTTGCTGATGATAAGATCGAAGAAAATCATGTAAACGCTTCATTTAGTCACACCTATAACAATCGTAGTAGTCGTTAGTTTTTATGTTTTAATATTGATTGACGAATAAATCCATTTGTGACTAAATAAAAACCGTCACAGTTTAAATTATAATCACCACATTCATTTAAAGAATCCGATCTTCAGTGAAATTTGTAAATGTCTTATATTGTAGAACCTCAAACCATAACGAAAAAGCGATCCAATACTACATGGCTTTTGACTGTTCTACAGTTCACATCAGACCATAACAAAAGTTATCGATTATAACAAGCCATTAATCAGGAAAACGTATATACTAATTATGATTGTTTATCTAGTTTAGTTTCATTCAATTGAATATTGTGATTTAAACACAATTTCGAACAAAGAATAGCTTAAAAATGATGCATTCCTAAAGTTGATGCATGCTGATCAATTTTATCTTTCAGATTTCTTTTTAAAAAAACATCAATTTATTCTGCCGGTTAACGTATAGGTTGATGAGTTTCATTTTGTATTTTCTGTCTTTATTAAGCGAATGTCAGTTCGTAATG